TGAAGGATTGAAAAAATATGAAACAAAAAAAAAATTATAAAAGAATGAAAGAAATAAAGACAGAAAAACGGATTGAAAAATGAATGAACGAATGAATGAGATGGTGGAATAACAGCTTCAATTGACGAAGCGAAAATTAAGTCAGCAATAAAAGAAAAAAGAAAGATAGTATACAGCTAGAGATATTCAATGAAAAAATGTTTGAATAATATTTTAAAGCAAAACCAAAGGAAAGACAAACAACAAATGAAACGAATAAAAAGACAAAGTTTCATTAATACACATGGTAAAGCCATGTATCAAAAATTCCAAGAATTATTGTCAGCGGTCAGCGAAGGAATTCTATATTATAAAAGACCATCTTTTCTGTCCTTCACATACTGTCTGTGTGTAACTGTTCGTGTGGAGATACAATTCATATACGTATATCTGTATTGGTGTTAAGTGTTTGCGTCATTAAATGTAGACGAAAGCATACACATATACGCAAAGAATTTAAGTTAGTTTGATATAAGAGATCTGTATAATATGTTCCCTTACGACTCAGTCTGGACAACATCTACACTGGGCTGAATAATAAAATAGTGTAACATATTCTAAGTTCAGTTGCCCAACACTTTAAATTGCTACAAAATAAAAACATCAATCTGAAAACTAATGTCATGTTCTTAAATAGCCTCGTCAGATCGATACCTTCATATGGATGCCATGAATAGCGCCAGACCTGTTCAGAAATATCTGAACTACCAGCTATATACAACCGTTATCTCAAATCAATCGTTAAAATTGGCTCTGAGCGAATGAAGACTTTCGGTCATATAGATGATTACACATATTCGAACCTTGTGGATTGGCGCTGCAAAATCACAAAGCACTGTACAAGATAACGGAAACCGCATCACTTGAGGACTTTCAAGAGCAGCAACAGCTAAACTGGATATAAAATGTAACTCAAAGAGGAAATAATCAAGATGTTGACATTCTACACATCTTCAAATAAAAAGTTGTGCAGAACAACCCCCCCGACACTGGTAATAACGATAACAGATACTCGACTTGAGAAACCTATTTTCCTGAAAATTTGTTTTGCAAGAAAGATTTTTAAAAATTCTTCCGACAGCAGTACTGGCCGCTGGGTCAATTAATTCCGGATGTTTTCTTATGATGAAACGGCTAAAGGGAAAATGGTAGAAATGTATTTTAGGTCTGCCGTTGAATTAAAGTATATATGCGCACGCGCAGTGTACACACACAGAGAATTTGAATGGAATCAAAATGGAGAGCTGCGTTGCAAGAGTTAATTTAACTTCGTTTTTCTTTAATCATTTCATCCCAAGAAGTGGTTTAAATAGAGTGAAGGTGAGAGAAAAGAATCTGTGTATAGGGGAATGAGGAAAGGATAAAAGATGAACGGGGTTCAAGTCATCAGAAGATGGCAGTTGACGTTGCATTTAAATTTTTGAGGATTGTACTTATCAGGGAAGCAAGTAAAAGGAAGGGAGTTACACAGACGAGAAGTGCGAGAAGAGAAGCTGTTGGAGTAGAAGTCGCGGTTACATTTATAGAATCGTCCATGTTTGCCTACTCACCCCCGTTAAATATAGACTTTTCTATAAGAATTAGCTTTGACCAATCAACACCACACATTGTGAAACTCAGCTTGTTATTGGTCGAGACGACCCCAGAATGTGTATCCATGGTCAAAAATCTGTTTTCCCGCCAGGCTCCTGGGAGTCTACTTTGATTTTCCAAAACAAGTAAAAGGACGAATTTCAGTCCAATTCACCAGTCAGTAATTCGCCTTCCGAGAGATTCCACACAGATCCACGCGTGTCAACTCCTGACTCAATTACCAACATCTTTCTATCTCTCTAAACCCCATTAAAGTTTTCTTAAAAAGTGTTAATTACACTACGAAACAGATATTGTAATGTTAGCATAAGACAAAAGAAAATACAGTTCAGAGTGAACAACTCTGTCAGAACAAGGTTAACAAATTCAACTTAAATCTCACATACATTATTTTCAAATTGACTTCTCGATAAAGTTTCCCTTGGTATTACAATGTGAACATTTTCTCAACAATTGTACATTGCTGAACTTTAATTCATTTAATATCCTTGATGCAAACTTCGTCAACTTGCATAACATCAATACACAACATTTTCTCTATTTGTAAAAATTGTATATAAATGTTCGATATTTTCTAGTTGAATGCACATCCACTGTTGTTTCTTGTACATTTTGCATTGAGTTTTATTCGACTTATACGTCTATGCTTTTATTTGTTGGGATTCATGGGAAGAACATGCTGTCAAACTCATCACGCTAGCAACTAAAACCTTCTGATTTCACACTCAATTCATAGCGATCCCAACACATTTAAATATTTCAATGGTAAAAGGGTGGGAGCTTGATGCTGGTCTAGTAGCACACTTAAATTTATGTAGTCGGGGGTACCAGGGATTAAAAGCTTATCAGAGCAGTTACCATGAAAATATTTGTAGAATAGACAGATGTCTTTGAGAAAGTGTCTGATGTCGAGATGCCAAGTCAGGATCGATTACATTGCAGATTCTTCTTTGGATTTTGTCAAGAAACTGGAGATGAACAACAGGGGCATCAGACCAAATATGGCAACAGTATTCAATGCACGGACGAATGGTAGATTTGCAGATAGATAAGATGGACTCAGTGAACCAACTTTTCTAGCAGTAGATGCAGCTATTGATTCAGTTTTGTTGTTCCACTTCAAGTCATTCGAAAGCGTGAGGCTGAGAAGGCGCAGTTGGCAATAATCCATTGGTAAGAGGAAAAGAGTAAAAGCCATCTTAAATGTGTGTGTTTTTGTAGTCATTGGTATGACTCCTTCTGTATTTAAGCTAAACTGTCTTGTTTTAATCAATGGACAATGAATTTAGGTTTTAAATTTGCATTTGAAATTTAATCATCTTGCACTTAGCAAAGTGATGGATACCGAAATATTTAGATACTAAATGCCCCGGCGATGCAAACGAATGTCGAATGTGTCTTTCTCATAATCTGTAAATAATAATATATTTCAATGTTTTTTTTTTCTCTCTCTCTTTCCCTCTTTCTACTTCAGGCAGTTATTTAGTCTATGTCAGTTGGTCTGGAGTAAGCATTCCAAAAATGCCTTTAAAGGTGAACGTCACACTGAGAGGAGATGTGTCAAAGGTTAGAGTCCTCGAAGATGGACTTCGGGGAAGCTTTGTTGGAAAGGAGACCAAGATCAATGTAGATACAAGTAAAGCAGGTCCAGGTAAGAAAACAGTATCTTTCTGTCTATCGATCTATCTATCTTTTCATATCTATATCTGTTTTTCTATATCTATCTATCTATCTATCTATCTATCTATCTATCTATGATGCAATGGGTAAATTATCGCCATTTTATATTTTTAATTTTGCCAATGAATGTTGTTTCTTTTTGATTTTGTCGACTGCACAGTATAGTAGGGTCAGTTGGGCACCGTCTGTGAAAAAAGAGCACCATGACGCGATTCACGCCGCCAGAAATTTGGAGACGGTATGCTGTACCACTTGGCATTCGCACCGGAAGTACCAATGAGAACATTCCAGAGTGCAGTGGATACGGAAAGAGTTGGATTAGTCAAATGGTGATTATGAAGGTGTTTCGATTGGTCGCTAATGATGGCTAAATTAGGTCTCCGTTCATATTCTCACCAGGCCCCTGATTCAACACGGAGGTCTACGTCAAGTACCTTGAGGAATAGTGCTGCTCTGGGTCAAGAGGTTGGCTGCTAGAAGACCCTATCTGGCAACAGGACTCTGGACCATGCCACACAAATAGTAGAAGCCAGTCATGGCTATCAGACAATTTCTACGACCACATCACATCTTACATCTGGTCAGAAAGTAACCCCACGATTATTATGTGTGGGGCGCAATTGAGCGAGGGGGCAAAAAAGCTCTTTGTAACACCAAAGATGAACAAGGCAAGGATAATGGCAGCATTCACCAATTTAAACAAGTAGACCGTCCAGAAGAGTTGCAGGAGACTCCGAAGTCTCTGGAGGTCGCGGTTGTAGCCAAAGTTGATTTTATTGAATAAATTTACTCTTTTCCGTTTCAATATATTTTAGTGTAATTTTCGTAAATATATCTTTTAAATTGAAATGCCAGTGTGTCGTTTTGATGTTTGTTTAATTTAGGTAACATTTAATTCATCGCAACCTATATATATATATATATATATATATATATATATATATATATATATATATATATATATATAATCATTTTATGTCTATCTCATTTCTGTTTAAATCTCTATCAGATAGACATCGGATATTGTCAGCAACCTCCTACAATAATAAATATATTTCAGCTTTAAATAACCCGCACATGGTTGATAAGCTGTAAAATAGTCAATCCATCAAGCAATAAATTACTCATTTAATGAATCAAAGACCATCATATCTATCTATCTATCTATCTATCTATCTATCTATCTTCATAATTATAACCCATACACTTTATATGTTTGTACTTCAGTCTCCCCACATATATTCACGGATATATCTTTAAAAATGGAAAAGCTGATTGATATCGATTATCAGTAGAAGATAATTAAGAGTAAACACGATTTCAATTTAATCTAATATAGATTATGCCAGTAGCAACGCACCTAAATTGCGAAATCATGAGCCAAGCCAAGAGGCAATCATAATAATGTAAAAAAATAGTATTATTATTATTATGTGATTTGTGGCAAATAACAAGCAAAAGACAACTATAGTCAGGATAAAACTATTTGAAACGTGTATCGTCTATTATTTTAATAATAATGAATTATATATATATATATATATATATATATATATATATATATATATATATATATACTAGCAGTAGAGCGCGGCGTTGCCCGGGGATGTAACAGTAAGAGATAGATCAAATATCGACCATCATAAAGACTGAAAAATAAAATTGACAAAGATTATTGTTTAAGGTTGACGGACACGCATGTCTTAATTAGTTCTTTTTTTTTTTACGAATTGGTCAAACCCAAACTCAGACAAAAACATTGTTTTCAATCGTTATGAGTCGACCAATTGAATAGAATTTTATTATAAACAATTGTCTTGTAAATGGAATTTTTAAAGCATTCTGAATGTAAAAATAAAGAAAAAAGTGTGCAAGACAATAAGAAACAGTACCTGCCAAAAAAAAAGTAAAGTAAAATCAGTTGAAAAATGTAGGAAATCCGATCCCATATATAAACGAACACACACACACAAACAAACAACCTGGGTTTTATAATAAGTATAACTCGATATGAGTTGTCCCCCTTTCATTCTCGCGATGACTCTTAATCGTATTTTTAAATTGATTTCCGCAAAAACAATTGTGTTTTTTCCAATTTTTGGCACTGTCAGAACCACCGCAAGGTAATTTTATGTAGTCCTGTGAAGTTTTATTGAAACTGATCCAATATATAAACGTACAGACACACACACACACACACACACACACACACACACACACACACACACACACACACACACACAATCTGCGTTTTTAATATATATATATATATATATATATATATATATATATATATATATATATATACCATTATAGGAGTGGATAGCGGCTACAGTGGAATCCAGTCGAAACCATTGCATTCACTTACGTGCTAATACCAATGGGAAAGGTATTAATCCATTTCTTCTCCCTCCAGCTATGGGAAAATAACAGGACAGTTTGGGTTCTATAGTTTTGGATGGCAACTGGTCTAGGAGAACAACTCAGAATTCAAAACCAGCGGAGGGTCGTTTGGGGACCTTGTGTCACATAATTGAGGGTTTCAAAAAGTGGTGTTGGTTTTGCACAAAACCTTCACCACTATAATCAAATCATACGTGCTGGTGTTGGGCTGTCGGTTCCAAGGAACTGAGCTGCTTCATTCTCATACGTCGAATACGATGGGAGAGTCCATCATATACATGTATAAATTTTCTATATATATAAATATTTAAATATATATATATATATATATATATATATATATATATATATATATATATATATATATAAATATTTACTATATATATATTTAATATATATATATTTAATATATACATATATATATATATATATATATACATATATATATACATTTAATATATACATACATATATATATATATATATATATATATATATATATATATATATATATTGAGAGAAACTGACATATATGTATGTGTGTCTTGTTATGATTCTGTGTATCCTTGGGTTGTATGTATTTGAGAGCCTAACCCTTGTGTAAGGAAGTTGAAAAAGAAGCAATAAATACCCTTATCTAATGCTACGGCCATAAAGCTTTCTTTTTTCCCTCGTCGTATTGAAGCCGTTAACGTCTGCTGGATTTTATTAGCTTATTTCGAATGTATTTTTGCTTTTCTTTTCATATACCACATTGTGCGATGATCGATGATATTGTACGAGCCCGGTCTCATGTGAAGCGTATGGAATTATGACATCATGTCTCGTTTTCATCTTGCTGCCAACCGTACAATCTGCCTTTGATGGTAGTCCTTTCTTGTCGCTTTCCTTTACGACCTTATCTAGGATTTCCTGTCGTTTTTTTTTCTGTGTCTGTCATCAACACTGTCATTTTCCTATCTTATGTTTTTAAAATTATGCCCACCAAAAACAAATCTCATGATGCATAATGAGTTTAACAAAGGACTTCACACGCATAATTTTATGAAATGCCAATACCAATTCAGAGAAACACGCATGGAATAATTTTTCTGATGATCACAAAAGTGTGAAACCTTGGGTTAAAAACTCATATTACCACAACTGAATATTGTCGCTCTGTCACTGATATTGAGCACTTTCCATGCAGATTATTTTTAAGCAATTAACCCCAAGCAAGGCGGGGGTACCACTAGCACACAAGGTGTTACAGAGGCTTGAGAACAAGTGTAATGAGGCGTCTTTGATGAAAGGATACAGAGAAGGACGAGGAACAACATCAAGGTATCAAATTTCGATTGACATTACAGTTAAATATTTGAAGATTATCGGGGAGCAAGCAAGGGGAAGGAAGTTCCACAGATGGGAAGGGTGAGAGAAGAAGCTGTTTGAGTAGAAATAATATATACAGAAATTACACACACACACACACACACACACACACACATATATATATATATATATATATATATATATATATATAAATTTTCAAGAGGATAGAATCCAGGTAGAAATCAATGTCCAGGACAGAGTAAGAATATAATATAAAAGGTTCAAACACTAAAATTCCATAGTTATAATTTATTACATTGGAATCGTAATAACGATCCAATTCATCTGACCTACAAATTCAAATTTGAATTTCTTGAATTTTTAGGTCTGATGAATTAGATCGTGATTACGATTACAATGTAATAAACTATAACCATGGGATATTAGCCTTTTATAATATATATATATATATATATTTGATGGGAGTTCCAGTCTATTTCATCTTTTTCGAGACTATGCCCTGCGCATTTGCATATGCAAATGGGATGGAGATGCTCTCTCAATAGATGGCTGCGAGCTTGCTTTCTCCCCGGAAGCCAATATACTGAAGATGAGGTGGCGATCGCTATGTTGACGATAAATTTATTCATAGTTGGAATAAGAAAGATCTTGAACCAAAAATTGACTTTCTCTACCAAGTGTTCCAACAAATAGGTATCGAATTAAACCTTGCCAGGCCAGAAACTATGATTTGGAATTGGAATGAAAGCAGTGATGGTGCATACGCATCACAAAAATTCAATATGTGGAATTAGTAAATACTAAACACTTTATATACGTCAGTGTCTGTATCAGACATAACAAATTTAGTACAGGAGATAAGGAAACTGAACACAGACTATGTTGCGTTAGAGGTAGATTCGCCCAATACCGCCAATTGCTACAAAACCAAAACATTAACCTGAAAACTTGGGATGACATTAAATAGCTTCGTAAGATAAGACATGTGGATGTTATGCATAGACCTAATCTCGTTCAAAATATTTAATCTGTACCAGATAAAAGAAATTACATTATTTAAGAACGTCAACAGCAGCAACAGCTAAAATATATCGCACATGTAACCCGATGACAAAATAATGACATAATTATGATTTTGACATCCCAAATTACTTCAAATAAAAGGAAATCCTCATCTGTATTGGAATTAGCGACAACAGTTACTGGTCTTGAGAAAACTGTTTTCCTGAAAAATTGTTTTAAAAGAAAGATTTTATAAATTTTAACTGTCAATTAATTCAGATTTTTTTTTTTTTTTAGGGAGACGGCTAATATTAAAATTACCAGCACCGTACTGTTTTATTTATGAGTAAACAATCTACTTTCAGATACTTTTTTTATCTTTTAGGTGACGTTACAGCCACTTGCACGAATTCCAAATGTAGTCTTCGTTGCGATGCCATAGAAAATAGTGAGGGAGGTGTCACAGTGTCTGTTTACCCTACCGAAGCTGGACGGTTCAACCTAAATATTTACTATGATGGAGAAAAAGTCCCTGGTAATTATTATTATTATTATTATTTGTTTGTATTTCTGATATGATGTATTTATAACCATTTACACTATTTACATTGTTTGGGCTGTTGTCCTCATCTTTATTGTCCAACTTCACAGAATTTAGGTCGTTTTACGCTCTGGCCTCCTTCAGGAGATATACATTGGAATTTCGCGTCGAACTCTTTATTTTGTCCTTCTGGGTATATTGTTCTTGTTCCACGTGCCATGCCTCTTCAGGATATTTCAGTTTCAGTTATTTCCCTTCAGGAACACAATTCTTCAATTTACAGTCGTTTGTGACAAAATGCTCCACATGATGTGTTGATGTTCCATTATTATTATTATTATTATTATTATTATTATTATTATTATTATTATTAGTCTTGTACAGTGATGTTGGTTACTAGTAAAAAGTTTATTCCCAGGTGATCAATTGTGAATTAAGAAAATAAACAAATAATCTCTTCTTTTCGGCGACTTGGTTTATCCAATACTTTCCAACGTATCCACTCTGTTCTGGGGACGCAAGCGTATTGTAATGACGCCATTTACAATTCCTAATTCAAGATCCTCAAGGATTTTTTCCATGATTTTTTGGTATAAAACCCTAGTATTCCAATGATCACTGATACTGTAATTACGTTCTTTACTAGTCCTTGTCTCACTTCCAGTTATTGTAATTATCAAACTTTTCTTTTTCTTTGCTTTCATTACGATATTGGGGCTCTTTATAATTTTGACCTACGTAGCCATGTTGAAGTAGATTCACATGCCAATTCCTTTATATTTCTTCTTAAGTGTCCGTATAATTCATAATATCTTCTGAATTTGTATGCTTACAACAAATGTTCGATGGTTTCTATTGCAGCCGCAAAAACGAATTTCTCTAAAATATCCAACTCCACAGTGAGAACACGTCTCAACTCTTCATATCATTTTGAATTGGCTTAAACTCTCGTGCTTTTGATGAGGTTCCAAGCAGAGCAACTATTATAGGAACAACGCATTATTATTATTATTATTATTATTATTATTATTATTATTATTCTACTTCCTTTGATTTTGGTGTGTTCATTTCTTTCCGGGTGAACCTCAGGTTAGAAATGGCATCATAGCATTTTCCACTGGGGAAAAAAACAAAAAAACACATTTTACATAGACAAGGCCCTTCGTAACGTGTGGGCTGTACTCGTGAGAACATTTTTGTATTTCTTTAAGGCATGGGCTACCAGAATCCCTTCAACTATTGGTATCTTTTCCATTCAATCCAAGGAACAACGGAATTGTTGATGTCCTCATTATTTTCAGATGTCGATTTATGGTTTTGTTAGTTTTTTTTTGAAGATCTTCAAAAAGATACATTGTAGTCGGCATCATCAATTCGATTTTTAGTCTTTGGTCACTAATCACCACGATTAATTGTTCTGTATGTGGAAAGACCATAAAATTGTTACAGGGTAACCTGGTCTGGTGGTGTTCATGCCAATTTCTTACCATTTGATTTTCCGTAGATGTTGCAGATTTTCCAGTGCACTCTGTCATTTTATATTTTATTATATTCAGTGGGTGCCAATACCGTACAGCCTGATACAAGATGGCCATTATTATTATTATTATTATCATCATCATCATCATCATTCGATTTCTGCTATGGAAACCTACCAAGTCTGCGGAAAGACCTAAAGGCAGGTCGTGGTGGCAGCCACATTTCATGTTAATTTTTTTTTTTTTTTTTTTTATCTCCGATGAAGGGGTTAAAAACAAAAAAAAACACAATTTTTGTATAGTCTCTTAAGCTGGGGCCAGGGATTCTTTCAATGTGTTGTTTTGTTCCATTTTTTATAATTCCAAGTGCACCTATTACCACTGGTAGAACATTTTTTCTATTTCAATTTCAGGTCTTTGTATTTTGATAGTTTTCAAATTCCTTGGTTGCTATGTTACAATCCGCTGGACAAGCCATATCAATTGTACACAATTTTTCTTTCTGGTTTTTGACAATAATGTCCGGCCTATTTCTTCATTTTTCTTCTGTGTGGATGGTATAATCCCATAGAAGGGACATCTTCTATTTCTGTAACCGGAATTGTTGATGTTCCTCAGTGTTTGCCACACATTTTTTTTCAGATGTAAGTATTCGATTATCGTGACGATTTTTTATATTCATTTGATAAGAACATCCTGAGATTAGATGGTCTATTGAAGATTTGGATCCACATTATTAATGATACATTAGTGAAAAGAGTCTTGCGCTGCAAGGCCTTAGTTTCAGACTTTAATCCAGATGCTCGTAACCATCGATGAGGAGTTTATTTGCACGTTCTGGATATTGGCCATGCAGAGGTTTGTCTTTAGCGTTGTTTCATCTGTTCAAGGGCTTTATCCTTGGCTTTCTTTTTCATATCTTTTGCTGCAAAGTTGGTTCTTGGCACTGTTTTATGAATCTACTAAATGTAAATGTTGTTTTGTATTTACTGCCTTCTTTTATTATTGAATATTTTTTCTTTCTGCTTTCATGTTGTTTCACTAATTTTATCATCCAGTCATTTTATTTGAGTAGTTAGTAAGCCAAGAGTTGTTGTCTTGTATGACAATTCTAGCTGAATAAACCTCTTCCACCTTCTTTGTGTATAGACGGTCTACATCACCTTTGGATGATGCATCCTTTCTTGGTCCATTTGGATGTCATTTGGTGTTGAAACTATATTGGACCACAAGGTTATTAATGGCCATAATTCTGTTCTGAGAATTCAATTCAGTTTTTAATACCAGTCGTACCCTTCTATAGTACTCTTTTACATTTTATTTTCTTTCATTTTCTTATGGTGAATTCCTTCACTCTCATTTACACCTAGGTTTATAAGCTTCTTTGTTCTAAATCTTTTATTGTTTACAGCAGGGGTCTAAACTAATAGAGGAAGTTTGTTGTAGCGATCCTCGTAAAACTGTACTTTAGCCAAATTGAATTTCATTCAATGATGGCTTTATTATTATTATTATTATTATTATTATTATTATTATTATTATTATTTGTGTATGTCATGTTTCCTGCTTTGTATCCGGTAGAGCCGGGACCAAACTATGGTCCTTAAGCTCGATAGTAGAATTGTCATTTAATTGATAGCACTTTTCGTAGTATATGGGATTTTCCTAGTAGGGCGATCTTATGGGCAACTTTTATGTTGATGTTACCTGTGATACTGTTAGCAAAATTGACCATTCCTTTTCTTACCAGGTCCAGAGCTTCGATCACTATTATTACTGTCTCAGTCTTCACTCCTCACATCCTGTTAATCGTGATCTACAGGTCCTTGCATTTGGACAATTTTTCGATAATTTTCATAGAGGTGTTTCTCTCAGATGGTACTGCCATGTCAATTCTTCCTAAATTTCTTGCCTTTTATGATAATATCAGGTCTGTTGGCTTTTACTTCCCTGACAGTTTGAATTGGCATTTCTCAGAGGATAGTTACATCGTTAATTTGCGTAACAGTTTCTGGTTGGTGCTCATCTCTCAGTGGTTTCGATTTTGTGCTCCTTGCATATCTTCCAGTGCGCATATGTCACTAACTTGTTATATTTGTTAGTATATTCATTTTTGGCTAGTTGTTGTTGTTGTTGTTATTATTATTATTATTATTATTATCATCTTTCCTACAGCTTTCAATTTCAACCAGAGATTTGCATTATAGGTGATCTCCACCAAATCATACAACCTTCGACAAAAAACAACTGTTTATTTTTAAGAATTTACAAGTTCCAAGAGCCACTCTAAGTAGAGGGTTATTAATTGAAGTTGTTTTATGAACATTGTAGCAGAAGCTAATAAGTACGGATAATGAGGGTATGTAGGAAAGATAACGCTTAACCATAAACTTGAAACGGTTTAGATTATACTGATCAGGAAAGCATACTCTCGGGAGCCTGTTCCACATGGTAGCTGTACTAGAAAAGAAACTGTCCGAATGAAACTTCTACCTTACCAATACGAAGTAAAATGGGGATGATTCGTCCATGAACGTGGAGCTGTGAAGGTCTGAATTGGTAGAACTCAGGAATGTAGCTCATCTGAACATGGAAATATTATAAGACTAGGAGGTAAGGTTTAGTTTGTTGGAAAGGGTTTGTATATTGGATAATCATTCAGCAGTCACACGAACAAGTAGGCGCATTTGAACTATATCATGACTGGAAATTGAAGACTGTGTAGCTCCAATCCAAATATGACAACTGTACTCCAGAATCTGTTCTCATTCTTCTACAGAGAAACCATGATAGTGGGGTGTCAGGTACTTCCGGAAGAAGTACAAGAGACTAACTAAACTACCAGCATCTTTACCCACAGGTCGTATGTATTTTTTGATTATTTCAAGGATGCCGATAATGTCACTAAAACGTAAGAGGTTACTGGGAGTGAAAGAAAATAAAAATCTCTTTAGAAGGAACCCGAAACCCAATCTTAAACAGAAAACAAGGGATAAGCTTCTATTCCTATTCAAAAGACTGAGGTGTATGTAACGGGGGATAGGCGAACCTATGTTTTCCACTAAGTTTTTTGCTGTGTCAAGCAATGAAGTCTTCTGAAACGATGGTATATTAAGCTTTATTTCAATTTTTGTCGATACAGGATATCATGTTTGGTAGCATAGACCTGAATGCCCTAATGATAACTGGGTCCATAGTGAATGGAACTTTTCACATTCTGGCAACTTAAATCCGGAGTTGGTGTATCTCTTGAGCTTGTTAATTTTTTTGACTTTGATATTATGGTCACCAGGAGCACACACGTCAGTAAGGAGACATTTTTTTCGATTCTTTGTCAAGGACGATAATGTCTGGTTTAGTAGCTTCGCGGACACGGTCTCTTTGGATGTTAAAATCTCAGAAGACCTTGACTTGGTCGTTTTCGATCACTTTCTCTTACTTGTGGCTGTACTATTTGTCGTCGACTTCAAGTCTATACTTCGTACCACAGGTACCAATACAGATGAGGGTCCATTTTATCATGACGGAGCTTGTATTTATTCTGTGCATTCATTTCACAAGCCTATATTTGTCCGTATCCACTTTTGATAGTCGTAATAATGATAACAATAATAATTATTATTATTAATGTTCCATGATTCCATTCTTATTTAAATTAATCCTTATCTCCACTGCCAAGATGTTCTTTTCCTAGTTTGATTGTTTCCCAGGAATTATTACATTTTCCAGATTTAAAAACGGATTTTAGCAATTCGGTTCACAATGTATATTTGAGGCGCATCGCTGTGAGCAATATGATCGCTTTGCGAGCGTTATTAACGTCCAACGCGTGAATACAGTTTCTCAATTTATGCTCTTTATGCCTTCAGGCTTACACAGCCGAAGTAAATTGAAGGCAAATTAGCACCCATTCCTCGGGATTGTTTGTTTCCTTTTCAGGTAATTCAAGGTTTCGGATATTATTGACATTTACTGAACATAGCTGCATTTAATACAAGGTCAAATCGGAAAAATGAAAGAATGGTGTATTTCGACAGTCTTCCAAGTAGCGGGAATTTAATCACGATCAAAATAAGGAAATATAATTCCAAAATACTTTTTTTGTCAAAGCACAAGAACTGACCGTCAAACTGGGGGAAATGAATCTGTCACAGCAACAACATATTCTCTGCATTATTAATTTTATTGACATTTATTAAACTTTTGAAAATATTCCTTTATTAATATTATCAATATTTAATAATCATTGTTCAGTCTAGAATTAGCAGTAATGTTTGATCCGGCAAATCCCAACAACACTATTTACACTATTCGGACTATTGTCCTAATCTTTGTCGCCATATTTTTAAAAACGTTTCTGTGATGAGCCATTATGATTACTAACATTATTTATATTATTCGGACCGTTATCCTCATCTTCACTGCCATATTCACAACGTTTCGTCCGTTGTACGCTCCGGCCTTCTTCAGGTGGTTGGAATGTCGAACTGAACTTTTTATTTCGCTCACTGGGGTAGAATGTTCTAGTTCCACGTGCCATGTTTTAACGGATATCAGTTATCAGTTATCTCTTGTTAATTCCCCTCTGAAATTCTCCACTGCCTTAACCGGGTATTGAACTCACACTCTATGGCTCATGTCACTGGATCTAACTAACGCCTTTATCCACTGTGCCAGTGAGCGAAATAATGGGTTCAACATTCAAACCACTTGAAGAAGGCTGGAGCGTACAACGGCCGAAACGTTGCAATAAATATGGCGACAAAGATGAGGACAATAGTCCGAATAATGTAAATAGTTTACATAATATCTCATCTCAGAAATATAAACAGATACTGAAATCCCCAGAAGATGGCTAATCTAATTACGATTCCAGCCAAGATGTGGTTTATACTGTAACTATGCTGTGTGAACATGAGTTCCGTTTCTGGGAGAGAGCAGATAATGTGACGTGATCCACAGATAGCACAACGCCAGTACACTCAAGCATTCGGTCACGATGACTTGTAACTTCGTGTTAGTACCAGCATTGGTGAACAATTCCGTCGATTCAATTTCACTCACAAGGCTTGGGTCAACGGCTTTCGGGCTCTTTCCAAAGGTGTCGCACGCTAGGATAGCGCCCAAGACCGACAAGAGGTCGCGTTCCTGAAAAATCGACCATTTGAGTAAAATTTTCTTTTTTTTTTTTTTTTTCGAAATGATGGTTTGTAATCATAATTTAAATATAAGGAAATGGGTCGCTTTAAACAATATTCTGTTCGTGCGTACGACGGTAAACTACATGCAAGGACAAGCAAGGTCTCTGATGCGAAGATTGAAGGTTTGAAGATTGTGGAACCACTTTACAATTACTGTTGTTCCCAGCTCCACCATGGACCGAGGTAGTAAAACAAATGTCAGCAATAATCTTTTATAAATAAATTACCAACAATACATTTTTATAGCAAAATTACAATCATTACAACACTAAAAAGTATATAAGTCTACTTGAATCTTCATTCGTTCTTCTATTTGTCAAGTGACCTCCGTTCATTAAGAAAAATTCACCAGCTAGTTTAATGGGTTCCCGTAAACTGAAGGGAAAGAACCCTCATCCGACTTTATTTGAAGCTATATATATATATATATATATATATATATGTATATATATATATATGTATATATATATATGTATATATGTATATATGTATGTATATATATGTATGTATATATATATATATGTATATATATATATATATATATATATATATATATATATATATATATATATATATATATATATGTATATATATGTATATATATGTATATATATATATATATATATATATATATATATATATATATATATATGTATATATATATGTATATATATATATATGTATATATATGTATATATATATATATATGTATGTATATATATATATATATATATATATATATATGTATATATATATATATGTATGTATATATATATGTATGTATATATATATGTATGTATATATATATGTATGTATATATATATGTATGTATATATATATATATATATATATATATATATATATATATATATATATATATATATATATATATATATATATATATATATATATATATATATATATCAAAGTATATCCACAGTTAGAACACGGAGAGTATGCCAATAGACCTCATTCCCTAGGAAAAAGTATTGATTATGTTTTTCTTTTACATGTGGACTAATGTCCTCAAGCTTGTTATTATTATCACCAAATCTCCAAAGTAACAACAATGTTATAGCACCAACAAAGATGAGGATGTTAGTCCAAACGTAAACCATATAAACAAATCCATGCTGTTCATATTTACATTGCAAGTTCTTTTAATTCATTCCGTTTTATTTTTTTTAATAGTAAATAAGATTTGGTCTTTATGTTTCCCTCAGGTAGTCCATTTCATTTGCGCGTTGGGGAGCAACCAGATGCCTCTCAGGTCAGGGTGAGAGGTCCAGGTATCGAAGGTGGCCTGATACAGTATTTTGAGAGTACGTTTTTGGTGGAAACACAAGGAGCCGGAGCTGGTCAGCTAGCGGTCAAAATCAGAGGCCCAAAGCGTAAGTTTTCACTTAAACTTATTTAAAACTTTATAATTGGTAAGTGTATACCTCTGAAATAATAGAAAAAAAGACTAAACCGATTTTCAAGAAAGCCTAAGGACAGATAATGAATATTATAAATACTATCGATCGACGGATATAATACCGGAAGTACTCCCGAAAATCCAGTAATTATAGTTTTGGATTGAAATCAGATTTTAAATACCATGTCCTTTCAGGAAGTAGGTGGTCATAGCGTTGTTTTCTCTCAATTGGCAAGAGATATTTGATAAGTTAATAGTTCTTGTTGCCTTCAGTACGGTTCTCAGCTTAGAGTTTTTAGTCTTCTAGACTGCGTGCCAAAAACGGCTAGATATACACATAAGCCTAGCAATCCATAGCTAGTGAGCGTAGAAAATGATTTCACTTTGTTATACAGTGTAACCCGGATATAAGAGACCCGGATATAAGAGAGATTTTCTCTGGTCCAAAATTAGAGCCTGTGTTAACCTAAACAAAATAGACCAAACCCGGATATAAGAGAAACCCGGATATAAGAGACTTCTTCTCCGGTCCCGACAACTCTCTTATATCCGGGTTACACTGTAGTTCAAAGTGAACATAACAGGCGAGGCAGAGATTTGAAGTTGGCTCGACGATTCCACTTTTCGTGCTAATAAACTTTACGCTATCCACATATCGTTGTTTTTTTTTTTTTTAGAGAATCCCTGAATTTCCCCACTGCTAAACTTTAAACCTGGCAATAAAATTTAATTGCTATTCATGTTACAATTTATACGCACAACTAAAACTAAAAGTGTAATAAGTGATAATTTTAATAAATTCGCAATGGTACCTATACTTTTTAAAATTTAAGAACGGTACTATAGTGGCGTCAATATTTCATTAGTTTACAGTTTTAACTGGATTGATGTAGCCGTCAGTTCTATGCTAAGAGGTTCTTTTCTTGTACTTATCGATTGTAGAACTCCCTTCCAGCTCTATGCTTTCCAGCCAACTTTAATCTTCAAAAATTAAAATTCAATGCTAATTGCTATCTACTGTCCTCCTGATTACTCTTTTCTCTTCCCGCTCATTAGTAATGTCCCTGTTCCTAATTCTTCCACACACTGTAACCCCCTTGTGTCTTAGCGGATTTAGTATCTCGCATGGGGTGACACCGCTTAAAATATATATGAATTATATATTTTTGTAAATTCTAAATCCTGTATATCCAGAACTTTATAACAACCAGCAATATTTATTAGAATTAATTAAATTTTTAAATTTGAATCTAAAATAAAATACTCAATTCTTAATTTTTTTTTTAAATCCAAAAGTGGGTGACCCAGGGATACGAACGTTAATGTCGCAATGACACATGTACTGCAAGCATAACAACTGTGGTGTGTCTAGGGCAAAATTAATTTATCTTTAATTAATTTTTTAAATTTGAATCTAAAATGAAATACTCAGTTCTTAATTTTTTAAATCCGAAAATGTGTGACCCAGGGATATGAGCGTTAAGGTCGGAAGGTCACATGTACTGCAACCATAACAGTAGTGGTGTGTCTAGGGCAAGATAGCCTGCCGTAGACCCTCATCCTCAGGATGTTTTTTTGACTTCATGACTTTCCTCCTCCTAGACTAGTTGCCACCTCACAGCAAGAGAACTCAGCCATCTCTGCTATGTAGCCTATAGCTGAGGGACGAAGAGATGGATTTAGGCCTTGCTCAAGGGCATATATACGAAAGTGAACGTAAGACACTGGGCCGGAATAGGATGACAGTAAACCTATTTCTTTTTTCCGAGTCGCTCACCGACACCTTACTCTCACATCAGTTCGCATGGAATATAACGGATGCTGTCGATGACGTAACCGATGACGTAACCGATGACGTTAGCCGTATCGCAAGAATTAATTTAGTTTGCTACTGGGCTTAGATATGTGCGCCTGTGCGCCCTGTTTATTCAAGGTTCATGACACCTGAATGTTTTTAAATAAAATTTGAGAAAATATACTTCATTTAAAAATAATTTTACTCCAACGAAACGATAATGCCACTAAGAAGCCACTAAGATGGCTGTGAGTGATTGAGAATAAGAAGACTTTTTAGAAGGAACTAGAAAACCTAGTCTTAAACAGGAAACAAAGGACAGTCTTGTTCCATAGATGGCGAAAGATTGTGAACTGGGGGATACACGTGCTATCTATCAAGACATCCCATAAGTTCTGTCCGAAACACAATAACCCCTGCTAGCATGCATAAGGAAGCATCCACTGCATATTTTTTTTATATATTATATATATATATATATATATATATATATATATATATATATATATATAAGGTCATCCCATAAGTTCTGTCCGAATTTTAACTTTTGTTTAAATGAACGAAATTTAAAAAGTATTTTATAATGACTAATGGAGCTGAACATTATTTTTATGTTGAGATGCATTTAAACTGATCAAATTTTATTTCAGAGAACAATAAAATTAAATTTTGTTTCATTAAAGCCCTGCTAACATGGAAGTACCCAAGAATCATTTGAGGCACATAATGCTTTATGAGTTCAAGAAAGGAAACTCAGCAGCCGAAGCGGCTAGAAACATTCACTCAGTTTATGGAGAGGAATGTGTGAATGAAAGAACTTGCAGAAGAAGGTTTGCAAAATTCAGAGGTGGAGATTTCAGCCTTGAAGAAGAAGATCGAACCGGACGTCCAGTTAAGTTTGATGAAAAGCTTCATTGAAGCAGCCCTTGAAGAAAATTCTACTTTATCAGTTGAGGAATTGGCAGTGCTTCTCAGTTCAAACCCTACAACTGTTCATTTTCATCTTCAACAACTTGGAAAAGTTCTTAAACTTGGAAAATGCGTGCCTCATGAATTGTCTGAAAACAACCTCAAATCTCGAGTTGACATCTGCTCTTCTCTCCATTCTCGTCAACTTGTTTCACCTTTTTTGAATAGACTTATGACTGGCGAGGAGAAATGGATCTTTTATCGAAATGTTAAGCGTCCTAGACAGTGGCTTGGTAAAGGGAAAGGACCCCAGCCACAGCCGAGAAGGAAACTTCATGGGCAAATGTTCTTTCAATCTGGTGGGATCGCTAAGGAATAATCCACTTTGAATTCTTATCACCTAATGCAACAATTAATGCTCAAATATACTGTCAGCAATTAGAGCGTTTGAACCAAGATTTGAGGGAAAAAAGACCTGCTCTAGTGAATCGAAAAGGTGTGATGTTTCATCAGTACAAGTCGCGACCCCACACAGCAAGAATCACGTCACAAAAGATCGAAGAACTTGGTTGGGAGAAAATTCCTCATCCATCTTATTCTTCCGATCTTGCTCCTTCAGACTACCATTTGTTTCGTAGCTTACAGAATCATTTGGAAGAAACAGCTTTTGTAACACAGGAAGAGGTTAAAACTGACATTTGTGAGTTCTTCAAATCAAAGCCAAAAGAATTTTACAGTAATGGAATTAGTAAGCTTCTTAATAGATGGAAGGAAGTCATAGATAATCAGGGAAAATACATTGTTGATTGAACCTGTAATTAAATGTAACATTTGGTCACTTGTTTTCTTCATTCAAAATTCGGACAGAACTTATGAGATGTCCTGATACTATATTACAATTTAAGAAATAACGATATTATTTAGTAATATATTGATTAAGCTTAAGAAAGAAAGAAAGAAAGAAAGAAAGAAAGAAAGAAAGAAAGAAGAGTTGAACTACAATGGCTTTCACTATAATATCTTCATCTGGGAATGTAGTTCTCAGTAAAGTAAACCTTGTAATTGTATTTGTTATATAGTAAGGCCCATGGTGGAACTCAAACACACTACATGAATAAGAAATTCAGAAAACAGTTACTAAAATATTGAACCATAATTTTTAATTTTCTCTTATTGAAAACCAGCAGGGTCACCGATTTTTTGGCTGACAGTTTTAGGCCTTTAAAGTCACACCGGAGATTCTGCAAGGATTCTGTATCTGATATTAATCCCAAAAGTGAGTAAAGGAAGTCTGGAGGAAAGAAGAGAATTTCACAAACGGAACGTTACCTAATCAACATCATTTAATGCTGAACTTGTTTTAATAAACTTTGTAAAACTATACTTCAGTATTCGAATTATAAATTATAATTTAGTATATGTTAGGTACCTCCACTTTTTCGGCGATATTTTTCGACACCTAAGGTTTAAAATGATCTCTTTAAAAATGAAAAAAAGGCATTCTTGAAGATTTTATTTTAGCTTTAATTGAAAGATAAAGGATGAAATTTATTATTTACAGAAAGTAAAATATTCTGGTGTATTTCAAATAGAAATTATATAGACTGGAAAGTCAAATGTTTGCTCGATTTCTTAAAATTTTCTGAAAAGCGGCCATTGTCTTAATTTTAAGAAATTTGTAAACCAAACGACTTTATCAATTTTAAAACTCTCTCTCTCTGTATATATATATATATATATATATCTGATGCGATGAGAACGAAAGTAATATATAAATTCCAACGTTCAGAGCATTAATCCAAAAGAGGGCTCGATACCGATAATAGAGCGATAATTATTTATTTATTATAATTTTATCGTATAGACAAAACCATTTTACTCACTATAAAGATGCAACTTAGTTTTGCATTTCAACAGCACTTAGACGACACGGGAACCATTATTCCATAGACAAAACATAGCCAGTCTTTCTCCATATCGCTATTACAATGGCAGATATTTGGACGAGTAAAAAGCATACCTTCAGACTCATCATATCGTGTTTAGTGTGGCAAACCATACCTATCCTCTTCGTATTCCTTTGGTAAAAAGCAACTTTCTGTTCAGACAGCTTCTTGCTCAGACCAGTTACTTTGTGGAAAAAACTCGCGAGATAAGGCTTATTTGAAAACTACACTCTCTTTAAGTCCAGGGTTAACTGATATGTATTCGACTCATTCTCATAATGTTCCTGCTTCCTCATCCGTTATAATACCAGTCTTTAACCCTTTACCTTGAGAGGTCATTGGAGCATTCGTCAAAAAAATTGAAAAAAAGGAATTTTTCTACAATACCCATTGTTGAATTTTTTTGCATTTCAGTGATAATATTATGTTCTTGAATTTTCTCATATCTATTTGAATCCCCGAGGAGGATCTCTGGCTTTTCGTTACAAGCATTCGTATCGAATAGGTTAGGACTCAAATTCGCAACTGGCTTTAAATTAGGAGACACAACTGACACCATAGTTAGGAACCACAAAATGAATGACACAGACGATGACAAAGGCTTTATGCAGGGAATAATCATACTTATTATAAAACCCAGGTTGTTTGTTTGTGTGTGTGTGTGTGTGTGTGTGTGTGTCTGTACGTTTATGTATTGGATCGGATTTCCTACATTTTTCAACCGATTTCAACAAAACTTCACAGGACTACGTAAAATTACCTTGCGGTGATTCTGACAGCGCCCGAAATTGGAAAAACACAATTGTTTTTGCACGAAATCAATTTGAAATCACGATTAAGAGTCATCATGAGAATGAAAGGGGACAACTCATATCGAGTTATACTTATTATAAAACCCAGGTGTGTGTGTGTGTGTGTGTGTGTGTGTGTGTGTGTGTGTGTGTGTGTGTGTTCGTTTATATATGGGATCGGATTTCCCTTCATTTTTCAAACCGATTTCAACAAAACTTCATTTTTTGGGGCAGGTAGTGTTTCTTATTGTCTTGCACACTTTTTTCTTTATTTTTACATTCAGAATGCTTTAAAAATTCCATTTACAAGAAAATTGTTTATAATAAAATTCTATTCAATTGGTAGACTCATAACGATTGAAAACAATGTTTTTGTCTGAGTTTGGGTTTGACCAATTCGTAAAATAAAAAAAAAGAAAAAAAAAAGAAAAAATAATTAAGACATGCGTGTCCGTCAATCTTAAACAATAATCTTTGTCAATTTTATTATTCAGTCTTTATGATGGTCGATACTTGATCTATCTCTTACTGTTACATCCCCGGGCAACGCCGGGCTCTACTGCTAGTTAACGCTAAAATTAAACAAAATACGAAACTATTCCACCACTTAGGAAACAAAAATATCATAATTAAATAAAACACCTGACAAAGAGGCGGTGTCATCCTATAGGGCATCAATATTTATAATGAAATGAATATAAATCCTCTACGTTGATCCAACAACATATGGAAAAATTCAAGAATACCCATTGTTAAAATGAAGAAAATATTTTACTTTATTAATACTAATGTGTCAACTTGGTCAGTGATCTTCTCTTGATTTGATTTTGTATGGAATTAACAGACTTAAAACTTGTTATGCAAGACTAAGAGTTTGTATAAATTGCGTGCCTTCATACTAAAAGCGTTTGATCAGATAGATATGGAAATCTAACATCTTTTGTTGTTTTTCTTTTCTTTTCTTTTTAGAGGGATTCAAAGTTGATATGAAACGAGAGACCTTCAACGACAGAAACATCATATGTCGCTACGACCCGATCGAATCCGGACATTACGTTATTAACGTCACGTGGTCGGGCAGACATGTGCCGCGAAGCCCATTTGAGGTTTACATATTCGATACTCAAGAAGAGCTGAACGAACACAGGCAGAAGAACGAATCATCTGATTTGACGTTATCGAAGCAGTGGTCAGAGGATATTTGAAGAGTGTGTGTGTGTGTCTGTGTATGTGTGAGAGATAGTGAGTAAGTGACTGAGTGAGAGGGAGAGGGACAGACAATTAGCTTAGCGATCAGTCATAAAAATGAAATTGAATGATGTGTAAGTATATATGGAGTCTTTACTGAGGACTACAGATCATACATATATATATATATATATATATATATATATATATATATATATATATATATATATATATATATATATATATATATATAAAGAACAGTAAGATATGGATTATGATTTTTTGCTGTGTCTTTTAAAACCCAGTAATTTTAAAAGTTACTCCAAAATTCGCTTGAGGATGAAATGGAACTAATGTCTTTAATTTAATTACAAAATTAAATTCGGAGCTTTTAGCTTACATTTTTGAAACATGGTTAGAACTCTGTAGCGAAAAAACATATTTTAAATCAATTAATTTATAATATTATATATATATATGTGAGGGGGTGTTTATATATATATATATATATATATATATATATATATATATATATATATATAATGTTTCATTGAATAATATAGATATTGTATCTACTGATTTTTTATAGTCATCTGTATGCCGTTGTGATAATGTTTAAAAAAAAACGCACGAACGGAATACAGATTTTATCGCAGTTATAATAAGTTTGTCTTTGTAATTTACCCCTGAAGATGATCTTATCAAACTATGAAAGTACTTGGTTTAAAAAATGACTACGGTGCCTTCCTTGATGAATTTCATCTTAACACCAAGAAACTGATTAGAGAACTGCAAAGGATCACTGTAAAAAATAATTAGGCACGATATATCTATATCATTCAATGAAACATGCTTGATTGAAGATATGCTGCCTATATACATACATATATATATATATATATATATATATATATATATATATATATATATATATATATGCACACACAGACACAGACACACACACACACACACACACACACACACACACACACACATATATATATATATATATATATATATATATTTGTATGTATGTGTCCATTCTTCATCACTGTATCGCCTTCCGGTGTGACCTTGTGGCAAATGTATTTTTTGGCAGCAAATAAATGTCCTGCTGCCGATAAGTTCACGAGTAACTCCACTTCGATATGACATATAAGATTCAGGAAAAGACATGTTCACCGAGCAGCATATCTGTCGAATACAAATTTTGCATTCACCATATCTTTCTTGAACGTAAACATTGATACATTTTTAAATCTGTCTGGTGTCGTTCTAAAGTTGTATTCTCGTCATAAAAGATCATCATGATGTGTAATCAAAAGATGTGACTACTTCATCTTTTGTCTTACGGACGAAATTTTAATATATATATATATATATATATATATATATATATATATATATATATATATATATTACAAATTTGTAAACAAAATTCATATGGAAAAAATGAAAAAAAAACTTATAGATAAAGGTTCCTCAGCGCTTTTCAGAAACGAAAATAAACTCCTACTAATGCTAATGATAACTACATCATGACTTAAACGCCTTTAAAAAAATAAAATCACATACATTTGATAAAAAAAAAAAACAATCCCATCTTACCTCTGGCTTGTAACCATTCATCACAATAAAATAAACATTTTTCACCAGTAAAGGTGAATGAGTCCAATAAAGCTTCATAAGCTTCTACTTGGAGTTGTTATATTACATATTGCATATTATTGTTATATTTTAAGATCAGAATTTTGTGATTGCTATAAAAAGATATATTTTAAAAAAAGAAAATGATATACAGGCTGTCTATAAAGTTCGTGTGAACTTTTAGAAAATTATAACTTTATGTGTATTTGCAATAGAAATAATTTGTAAAAAGGATTAGAAAGAAGTAAATCTATATTTTTTAAGGTTTTATTGAAATTTTATTTAAGTTTCCATATGTCCTCCATCATTAGCAATACAAAGGGTAATACGATTTTGCAATTCACGGAAAACATTTGTCAACTGATTTTCATTAATGTCTGAAATCACATTAGTTATGTTAGCTATACTTCAAAATAGGTACATTAAACTTCATAACATTTTTTACAGATTATTTCTATCGCAAATAAAAATAAAGTTATAATTTTTTATACTGCACACGAACTTTAATGGACACCTTGTATTTTAAAAAAAAAGAAAATAAAACAGGAAAATGGACAAAAAAATGTATTTCTCAACATATGTCATATTCATTAAGTCGTTTGTACAATTTGCATTCGTGCTCTCCTACAACCAGGTACGCAGTCTCTGAATATCTCGTTAATAATTGACAATGCGCAGCAGACTGTCATGCGGACGTGTTTTCTGTGTTGAGCTGATCATATTATGACTTTCAACTGAAAGTTCTTGAGAACAACTTTTATTAAATTTGCGTTAAAAAAAAGCAATTGTTATTGAGTTACTATGTAATCTTTTTATAACATAAATGTATTTTTGTTTTAAAACGAGTTCACTCCAGTCAAGGAAATAATGCCACCCGGATGCAAGTACTTACAGGGTATGGAAGAATTAGAAACATGGACATTGCTAAGGAGCGAGAAAAGACGGAGAATAATCAGGAGAGCAGATAGCGATTGGCATTGCATTTAATTTCTTGAAGATTAAAGTTGGCTGCCAAGCATGGAACCGGAAGGTCGTTCCAAAAGCGGGAAGAGCGAGAAAAGAAACTGTCAGCATAGAACCTGCTGTTATATCTAACCAACTCAACTATAAATTGGTGAGACCTCGACGCCAGTCTAGTGTTGCGATTAAATTTGAAGTCTTGGCACAATAGCGATGATCTCATCTGGACATTTATAATAGAAACAGCGAAGACAAGCAATCTTACGGTGGTGGGAAAGTGACTGAAGCCGAGACGCCAAATTGGGGGCAATAATATTTCTGATTCTTCTTTGGATTTTATCAAAGAGATCAAGATAGATAACCGTGGCAGCGGACGAAATGTGGCAGCAATATTCTAAGCATAGGCGATTAGTAGACTTATAGATATATAAGACAGAAACTGGCGAGAAAAGCCGTCGAGCACGACGAAGTGAACCAATCTTTCTGGCAGCTGACCTAGCAATGCATTTAATAGTCTTTGCACTTCATGTCAGCCGAGAATGTTAGCACAAGTAGGCGTGACATGTCACTCTCCTGGAGGTTAACATCAGCCATGATTATGGAAGGCAGGGAGGGTTCTCTCAGATGATTAACAGGGAGTAGTTTAGTTTTGGAAGAGTTAAAATTAACAAGACATCCTTTGCCCCAGTTTACAACAGACTGCAGGTGGGTTTGGATAGCAGCTGCCATTTTGACCTCATCGAAATGATCAGACTTACTTTCGAGACAGGGGTAAATGATTGTATCATCCGAAGATATATCAAGTTGAGAGCAGATGTCAACGGGAAGTTCATTAAGGAAAATCCAAAACAAAGTAGAACCAAGGATGATTATATATATTTATTATTATAGAAATTGAAAGGGTCTGATTTTATCCTTCTTCCACTTGTTATACTCCCACTCCGCCACAACTGTCCCTTATATACAGTCGCCTAAGAAACATTTTTTTTAGCTTGGAGAAATAAACTACATCCAATTTCAAATTTAATTACATATTCTCAACTCAGCTTAAATAAACAGTGTTTGGAACTAGTATGGAGGAGGTCCTCCATTTGCTAGTGTCAGTGCTTGTATTCGATTTTTCATGGATTTGATCAAGTTATCAACAATGTTTTGCACCATATTTTACAACTCCTTTAGCAATGTTTCTTTAAGGGTTGCCACTGACGTGATTTTGCTTGCACGCTCTCGAAGTTCTCAGTCAAGGTTCTTCCAAACGTGCTCTGTTGGATTCACGTCACGTAATTGGGCTTCCCATGGCAGTGACTTGATTCCTTGCGATTCCTTCAAGGCCTTTGCTATTTTGTTCGTATGACATGGCGCCCCACCTAGTAGAAAAAAGTAAACATTCTTTGTCAATCTGATTGGTTTCAAATAATATGAATAGTCTTTTCTCTAATATTTGACAGTATTTTGAACCATTCAACCGCTCGTCAACAAGAATCAGCTCACCCTTCAAACCAGACAGCGCTAAACCCCATTCCTCCAATCCCTCCATGTTTCACGGTCGCCTGCAGACATTCAATGTTCCAAGTCTCGTTCTGATTTCTCCAATCATAAACCTGCCTCGAATTCGAATATAGGCAGAATTTACTTTCATCTGAAAAAATTAGAAACTGCCAAAATTAATAATCTCGAATTCTCTCGCGCAGTACATACGCCTTTTCCTGTTAACCTCTGAAATTAAGGGCTTCTTTCTTGCAACTCTTCTTTGATAGCCTAGTTCTTTCAGAGTCTTTCTCACCACATATGGTCACATCTTTGACACTCTGACGACGCTTTCTGATGACTTCCCTATTCAGTGACCTTTTAGTTCGTTCAGACACGATGCTTGGTCTTCCTGAACGTTGTTCCATACGACAACGGCCTTCTTCATTGCATTTCTTGACAATATTATTAACCGTTTGATGATTAACTTGGCAAAACCTAGCAATTTCTCTATTTGACTTGCCACACTGACGCCATCCTATTATTATTGTGGTCGCGTCTGTCTGAGTAGGGCAGCCTGCGAAATCATCAATAACGCCTTACAGCGAGAGAAGTCACTAATTAAAAATTATATGGCTTTCATTGTATGCCTCTATTGCAAAAGACGCCTAAGTTGCCGCATTTGAGCGAGAGAACGTAAGACTCTAGCAGGACTAAAAAGTAATATCCGCGCTGCCGATATTTCTGGATGGATTATGCAACGGCATTGCTTCAGTTTTAGAACTGAAGTATTGGACTAGCCATTCGGATATTTGTTTTTAGTTTTGAAAAATTGTGTAGAACTGAACAGACTTTGCGAATGCACAGATAGCGGAAAACTGGTTTACGATGTGCCTCAAAATTTCTGAATAATCAACAGCATGTTTGTTTTCTTGTCATGAAGTTTTACATCAACGAAATAATATCAAAAGTTATACTTAACCGTGGATATCCATGGTTTTGGAAACTGGTTTGAATGCTGAGTTTTCCACCTGTTGAACTAGGTGCAACTCAAAGCAAGAGAGTTCAGTCTACCGCGCTATTTTTAACCGATTCCTGGACGAATCAACTAGAATTTGTACTCGCCAAAACCAGTTATCCTACCCACACATATATGTACGTATGTACGTGTTTTCACCATTTTTGATAAACGGACATATATAATATCACCATTATTTCCACTATTTACATTATTCGGACTATTGTCCTCATCTTTGTCGCCGTATTTATTACATCGTTTCGGTCGTTGTACGCTCCGGCCTTCTTTGGGTGGTTGGAATGTCGAACTGAACCCTTTATTTCGTTAACTGGAGTAGACTGTTCTAGTTCCACGTGTCATGTTTTAATTCCCCTCTCCAAGTTCTCCACTGCCTTAACCGGGTAGTGAACTCACATTCTTTGGATCCTGTCACTGGATCTAATCAACGTCTTTATCCACTGTGCCAAAGGCCCAAAAAGTGTGAGGACAATAGTCCGTATAATGTAAATAGTGTACATAATACCTCATCTCAGAAATATGGACATCATTATTCAGTCAGATATGTTTTTATTGACTTTCTATGAACTTATGTTACCTTTTCAATTGAATGATGTTATCTATTATATATATATATATATATATATATATATATATATATATATATATATATATATATATATGTGTGTGTGTGTGTGCGTGCGCGTGCGTGAGTGTGTGTGTGTGTGTGTGTGTGTGTGTGTGTGTGTGTGTGTGTGTGTGTGTGTGTTTGCAGATATGTAGAAAATAGGAAAGAACACGTTAGGTAAATAATCCGGAGAAAATATCTCTTAGACCCCTTACCAAAATGGTCACCCCAGCCATTTCCATAGTAATTAATTTCGCGAATGAACATGCTTATAACGATGCGTCAATTTCAAGATTGTTTATTCCTAAATTTTCGCTTGAGGATGAAACAGGGCTTGATACTTAAACTCAATTTAATTTTAATAATTATATTGAGGTTTTCGGCTCTCGTTTTTGAAACATGAGAACTCTTATGTAGCGAAGGAATCATATTTTTTCAAAAATAATTGTATATATATATATATATATATATATATATATATATATAAAGAAAATCGATTCCGGTTTTGATTTTATATATTTCGAAAAATTTACCATTATCTTCAGCTTTTCGGAACTGCTGGTCAGACAAAAAGAATTGTATGGAACAAAACAAGATATATTCTGAAAGTAAAAGTCTGGTGAATATGTTATATGTGAAAAGCTTGGGGTTGAATTTTTAACACGCACTAAAATTACCCATCGCCTTCGTTGCCGAGAGAGAAAAAAATCCTCGTTCAATGCATCTTTCAAACGACTTTACTGACTCACCTGCAATTTTCTGTGTTATTTCTATAGCATTTCCCGCCCAAACCTCTTCTAATTCATCAGATTTTAGCTTCTGGAATTTTTCGTGGGCATTGTTTGTCCGTTAGCTTTTTTTTTTTATAAATTTGGCAAAACATTCCCGCCATATATTTGCACTTATTGCCCACTTGCCATAAATATTAAGCGATCTATTGCCTCGTTTAAGCTTGATCTTTCTCCAGATTAAACTTAAAGACTAAACATTGTTGAATACGCTTTTTATATGTAGCCATGATTTACGTGTAAATAAACTAGAATTAGAATTTTTTTTTCAAACAGAGATTACAATGAAAGCAGATAAAGAAATTCCAAAAGATTGAATGAGAAATGGTGTTTGGAAATTGTACATTCACCTATTAAATATACTGCAGAAGAAAAGTTTATAGAAAACTTATTACACGAGAAAAAAACTAACGAAAGCGAAAGTGACAGAAAAAAGTGTAATTTTAATTATTTTACAAACGTACTCACATATACAACTATGAAAAAAATAAGACGAATGATTTAAAATCTCACTAAAACTTGAAATAATTTAATGGAACGTGCATAAAGTTGGAGTAACTCTACAACATCAAAAAAGAAAGTTTTCCAAATCTGATTTATTTAGTATAAACAACGAAATGACCAAACGTAAATATTTAGATCAAAGGCATTACTACTACTACTACTACTACTGCTTCATTTATTTTCACAGATAAAAACTGGTAAATAATGGATCAATAGCAAGCCACAACCAGCAGCCTTTTGTTATCACGGAATTTTCCTCTGTTCATCACTTTCCGTTCCTAGGGTTCTTCTTCTTCTTCTTCTTCTTCTTCTTCTTCTTCTTCTTCTTCTTCTTCTTTACCTCATTATTATTATTCTCTCTTCGCCTCCTTCCTTTGCTAATCATCATCATCATCATCATCATCATCATCTTTTGCTTCTTATTCATCTTCTTCTTCCTCTTCTTCTTCTTCTTAAGATCTAAGGCATTTGGTATGTTACGACTACATTTCATGATTTTTTTTTTTACCTCACATGTCATCACTAGCGTTACATGGACAAAGTTCTTCTTATTGTGTGCGCTGTACATATCAAAACATTTTTTGTATCTCCCTGAAGCTTGGATTTTCAGTGATTTTTTTCAATGTGTCGTTGTGTTCCATTTTTTACCATTCCAAGCACACCTACTATGACTGGTAGTATTCTTGTTTTCAATTTCCATATTTTTCCTATTTCGATTTCCATGTTTTTATATTTCGATAGTTTTTCAAATTGCTTTGTTGTTATGCTACAGTCCGCTGGACAAGCCATATCGATTAGTAGGCAAGTTTTCTTTTCGGTTTTTGAGATTCATGTCCAACCTATTTACTTCCATATCCCTTTCTCTCTAAAGATGGTGTAATCCCATAGAAGTGTCATACCTTCTATTTCTATGACTGGTGCTAAGTGATGTTCATACCAGAATTTGATATAATATCTTTTCCAAAGTGTTTGCACATTGTTTATTTTAAATATTGCCCCACTCAAGGACACATGGCACAGTGGATAAAAGCGTTAGTCAGATCCAATGACAGGACCCAAAGAGTGTGAGTTCAATAACCGGTTATCTCAGTGGAGAACTTGGAGAGGGGAATTAACAGGAGATAACTGATAACTGACATCAATTAGACATGGCACGTGGAACTAGAACAGCCTACCCCAGTGAGCGAAATAAAGGGTTCAGTTCGTCATTCCAACCACCTGAAGAAGGTCGGAGCGTACAACGGCGAAACGTTGTGATAAATATGGCAACAAAATTGAGGACAATAGTCCGGATAATGTAAGTAGTGTACAAAATACATTATATCAGAAATATAGACAGATATATTCAGATGTCTGTTTACCCGAAAAGAAACAATGCAGTAATTAATAAGTTTTAATTAATGCATGCAAAATTTCAACGGCCTAGCATTACTCCTTCAAAGTCAGCTTATGAAGTCTTCAGCTCACTCTCGAACATTATTCCAGCAAACATCTTACGATATTTAGAAAGTATTTTGGATTATTCTTCTTGCAAAATTTCAGTAAATGTGACATTAAATGTATATATACGAGCCTACTATATTGTTTCAGTTCCTAATTTTAAACATTTGATCCACTCCAATCATATGTGCTCTGTTTACTAAAGGTGTAATTTTAAAATTGAGTCAATGCGATAAAAAGCAATTGCAATTAAAAGCAAAGTACTACTTTGCTAACACTCCATCATTGTCATAACAAAGACGAAGTCTGCTAGCGCCGTAAATTCAAAGAGATGACTCTAGTACCAAAACGTTGAGACGATACTAGTATAAAAAGACAAATATACGTCATATACGCGCTCATTGGTTAATTTATAAGCTATATTCTTCTAGTAGTGTACCAGACTCCCTTATTGATTTTAGTAGAAGTAATCTTTTGAAGTTTTTTTGTAGTTATTTTTAATCATTTCAACACAAGCAAGCCAGTGAAGCAAGTGGATACTGAATATTAGTGAATATGAGAAAATTGAAAAAAAAAACTCTTAAAATCGAACAAGAACAAAAATTTTGAAGACAGTAGATAATGATTGATTGATTGATTTTGTGTTGTCTGCTTATCGGCATATCAACTCCTTATAACTCATTTCTTGCTGAAGTTTAATTTTCTTTGGAGTTTGCAAATAATAAAAATGTTATTCTGTTTTCATTGAATGCATGGGAGATGATACTTTTGTACACATGCATGTTTGATTAGAAGAGGCGGTAATGTGTGGTTTATTTTGTCGTTTTGCTGAAGTGATATTTTGGAATACAGTTTGTTTTAAGAAATTGTCGGATATTATATGATTTAATGACATGAAAGAGTTTTCATCTTGGTTGTTTGGTAATATTTTAAACGGATTTGAGTGAAATTGCTACAGTTTTTGAGTATGTGCATATTGTTGATAATTTTGACTATAAATATGAATTGTTGGTAATTTTAAATATATATATATGAATTGTTGATACATTTAACTATAAATATGAATTGTGTTGACCATGTTTTCCATAGTCTATGAATATAGAATACAGCGCAGTATGTAATCTGTTCAAGGAAACAACGTTAAAGATTAACACTCACGAGTCAGATACTCTACTGAATCTGACTATATCGCCAATACCACCAGCAGGTGTTCCGTAATTCTTTAGTCTTCGATATCAAAGGCTGCCAGTGAATATTCTGGAAAAAACATGTCCGCCTTTATACACGTGGCATTGAATATTTTGAGCCTTCTGATTGGTTAACCCTTCTAGTGGTGAACTATAAAATGAGTCAGCTCATTTTGGCTGGCTCACTAGTACACCAGCTTACCCAAAAACCCTAACACCCCCCCATTTTGGATACATTATGGAATCTTCTTTCAAAATATTAGTAAAGTCAATATTAATATGGAAAAAATACTTTAGTATTCATAAAATATATCTTTTTTGTTTTGTAATTAATTTTTTTTTGTAATTTTTTTTAAATAATATCCACAAAAATTAGTTATATCATTTTGTCCACTGCTAAGTATTTCAGGTTAATAAACATTAATAACAATATTATGAATTTGGGTTGTGATCACAACAAAAAAGTGGAAAAAAAGTTGTTATTTTACCCATAGTTGGGACCCATTAAAACAGGCAATATCACTCCGAGTCAGATTGATTCTGAGAGTCATTCAGAGGAGGATTGGGCTAAAAGTAGGACTATTTACGTTTATACCCCGAAACTAAGGATTTACATTCATACCAAAAACTGTCGTCTCTTCAGACAATAACTAATGGATGCAGTTTTACATCCTACCCAGGACTAATAAGGACCTTAGAGAGACTTAATAGATGCAGTTTTACGTCCTGCCCAGGACTAATAAGGACCTTATAGGTCAGTACCAAATATGACAGGAATGAAAGCCGCTAATTTCAATTTTGTAATTGGCTTTGTAAATAAATCCGACACGTCATTTTCCGATTGAACATATTCAATTTGTATTGTTTTCTTTTGTACCTAATCCCTAACAAATTGATCTTTGATGTATTATTGGATTTCTAGCCAAAGCAATACTGTCCTGATTGTCACAGTAAATAGTTATAGGCTCACTTACTATCAGTGTTGTAATTGTTTTTAATAGTAATTTAAGAAAAAATAGCCTCTTGTGTTGCTTGCGACAACGCAACATATTCCGCCTCACGTGTAGAAAGTGAAATCATTCCCTGTTTCTTAGATTTCCAGCCAATTACTGGATTATCTTTTGCCAATCTAAAGCAATAGCCTGTGATAGCTTTACGATCTGGTGAATTTGCTCAATCAGCATCACAAAATCCTTCCAGTTGTAGTGAGTTTTCTGATTGTCGAAATACTAGGCACTGATTCTTAGTTCCCTTTAAATAACGTAATACTTGCTTAGCTCTTGTTAAATGCACAGTCCCACAGATTTTTGGGTAACTTAGATTCTATTAGCAAACATCTAGCTATTTCGAAAAGCGTCCGCCAACTACGTTCAGCGACGCCGTTCTGGTGTGGTGAATAAGAACAAGTTTTCTCATGTTTAATGCCTTCATTTATTAAGAAGTTTTCGTAAGCATCAGAAGTAAATTCCCCACCATTATCTGTTCTAATTATTTTCACTTTTCCATAAGGTGAGATATCAGTTAAATATATTCTTGTAGCTTGTAGGGTATCAGATTTGTTTTTCAGAAAATATATCATAATAAGTCCTGAACAAAGTTTAATACATATGAATAGGTGCCAATACCCATTGGGGAAATTGGACCCGCCAAGTCGCAATAAACTCTGAACAAAATGTCTGTTGATTTTAGGATTTGATCCCTATTTCTATATTTCGTCATTTTCCCTTTAATACATGTGTCACAATGTTGTAAGCCGTTTGGAGATGTAATTTTCATTCCAGAGACGTGTACTTGCAATCTTTTAACATCCGAATTATTACAGTGGCCTAATATTTTATGCCAATTCCTTAAGTTGTGGGTGGCTGTTTTTACAGATTTAATACTTTTCAAATAATACAAACGTCCATTTTGTTTTATATTAAATTCAGTTCCGTCTGGGTAGATTAGCTTTGAATTGTCTCGGTGAAAATTAACTGTAACACCAGTTCTAACAGCAGACCGAACCGAGAACATATTTTCTTTAAATTTAGGGATATATAAAGCCCTTTTTAATAAACATTTACAAATATTTCCTGTAGTATCGCGTAAACAAATACAGGCATCGACTCTTTTCAAAACTAAATTATTAGCTCTGGTATCGTCAGCCAACTCAATAAAGTGGGAATCTGGCTCGAAGTTGGGGTCAAAATTATTAAATTTTGTTTCACCTCTAATTACATGATTTGTCTCACCCGTATCGACTAGGTAAGAATTATAACTATTGGGTATAGTATCCAACCCAACCGAAAAAGCATATGTTTGCTTATTCGAAAAAGCTTTTTACATTTTTACAAAAATCACTCCTTGTATGAAATTGACATTTCGCACGTACATGGCCGGTTCTTCCACAACGAAAGCAGATGATATTTGATTTTCTATTATTATTGTTGTTATTGTAATAGTTGTTTTTAAGCCCCTTGTTTTTAATATCATAATTCCTAGTCTGATAGGTTTGAGGGACTGGTTTTCTGAATTTTTTAAATGACGTTCTCAGTTGCATTACGTTATTTCCTTGATTTGGGGGAATTACACATTTTTTCAGTTTCTTCATAACTACGTAACGCAATTTTAAACTCAGTGAAAGTTAATTTTTTTTATCTTTTTGAGTTATGATTGTCGTGAATGGTTTGAATGTTGCTGGTAATCCCTTTAAAGCCATGGCTATTAGCAGCCCATCTGAGATAGTCTCACCTGCCATTTTTAAGGAATTTGTGA